AGCCAGATTCATTCCTTGACCCTTCTCCTTCAGTCCAGAGCCATAGAGCTTGTGGAAAATTACAGTGGGGGTGATGGCAGAATTGGGAACCTCAAACCACTGCCTCGTTGGAAAGTGATTGCGTGGCAAGCTCCAGCTTCTGAGGAGGACACGGTCCCGTCTCCCCACTCTGCCCATGAGACCTAGAAGTCATCAGCAAGGTAGGCTCTGAAGAGGGACCTAGGTAGTCTCTGGCCCTAGGGCATCTGACTCAAAGGTCCCAGCTGCTGTGGAAGTTGCCTGCAGGACAACTTCAGCCCACAGTGATGCTGAAGCCACAATGGAATCTGTTGCGCCAGTGATTGAGGAAGGCTCCGAGGGCTAGAGTGACAGGCAGGGGAGGCATTTTCTTCTCCAACACAGCACCTACACACCAGTTACTATCCACCAAGCCTGCCAGGCAAAAGAATACTCGTCAGGCTGTTTAGTAGGTCTTGGGGTAAGGAGTCAGCAGGAGTAAAGTATAGCCTCCCTCCCTGCATATCCCCAAATCCCTCACCACTTCCAAATGTCACAATAGCCCTCACCTCTAAACACCATATTGGCCTGGGGCAGAGTCAGGTGGTAACCAAAGGAGAAGGTTGTATCTTGTAGCCTTGTATTTGCCTCAAACTCCACTCCAACCTGAACCTGAGAAGCAGTGATGAAAAAGAGGAGGAACAGTCGACATGGATGCCAGAAGAGCCCTGACAGGGTATCAGCAAGCTAAACACATGTGTGAAAATGTACACCACAGTGACAGTAGGAGGAATAACAGGCCAGGAGATTTGAGGGGCAGAAGTTTCTGACTGACTTACTAGGATAGTAGATCAACTCAGTAATCTTACCTGTTCATTTGCCTTGTGGTAATAACTTGCATGGGCCCCACCTGACCCAACATTCAACGTAGCTACCCAGTGTAGAGCTGGGGAGAAAAGTACAGAGGGGAAAGACAGTTACTGTAGTAGATCCTGGCAAGGAACCCCAGAAAAGCCCAGAGTGGCTCTCCTCACCTGACACTCTGTCACCTGACACCATACCTGAGTACTTCCCAGCCAGAGTCAAGATGGCCCCCTCTTCTCCTGGTCGACGGTGATAAACTAGCTCTCCTCCCAGCACCAGCCGATGAGTGACACTCTGCAGGAAGTGCGCAACCATGATCACTGTGGGGGAGTGAAGAGACAAGAGTCAGGTTTACACCCTCACCATCCATTCATTCCCAGTCTAGCCTGCCCAGAATGTTCCTTTTCTAACCCCCAAATTGCACTGAAGATGAAACGGCATGATTGACTTGTTCTTTTGCAAATGGAAAGGCAAGAACTCTGTCCCAGTTCCCCACCTGACTCCCCAATCAGGTCAGGATTTCCCAGGGTCAAAGTGGCTGTGTAGTCATCTCCCCGATATTCGCCATCAAACTGCCATGTCAGGAACTTGGCCTGCTGAGTCTGGTAAGGAGAGTAAGAAATAAAATACCCTTCCCTCTTTTTATGTTCAATATTGCCTCTGCTCCTCCCCCTGGGTCCCCAAGGCAGGATACCCATGGAAGAGACAGAAGTGCCTCGGTGGACAGAGGCAGGAACTGTGGGTCACCTGGAAGATAGCCTTAGCTCGCAGCCGCTCTGCCAACAGAAGCAAGACCTGGGCGTTGAGACTGCCACTGCTGTCCATATCCCCCACCACAGTGGGAAACACCTGTTAAGGAGTGTAAACAGGCTGAGATGGGTAGTTGTATTCACCTAAACATGAACACTAAGGGATTTCAGGAACATCACACAGCGCCCCCTGGTGGACATAAAAGACAAACTCTGGCATCTTTGCACAGGAATCTCTACCCTCTCTCATTCCGAAGAAGCACAGAGAACATAGATGCTGAATGATCTTCCTGACGACATACACATTTCCTCCTTCTCAAGACCCAAGGCCCCTCCATGCATGGTTCTAGGGTGTTGATGCAAGTGTGGTGAAGCCCTCACCTCAGTGGGGCTAAGCTGCCAGTCCCCTGCATAGGCGGCATGGAGGTGATAGCCTGGCAAGCCCAGAGCACTCATATGCACAGTATGAGCAACCTGAGGAAAGAGGAGACGATAGAGAAAATAACATTCCACTTCCCCTCAATTCCTTAGCCCACCCTTGATCGTTTTCCCATCAGGGGTGTTTTAAAAACCTCAACTGTTCCAACATATGCAGAGGGTCCCTGGATTTTAAGCAACAAGTCCCACAGGCAAAGAAAAAGGGACTCCACATCTTCCCTCATTTGTCCCTCACAGTCTGGCTAAGACCGGAGTAAAAGGTGTGAGGAAGAGGCAGGGAGGGGCCAGAGAAGTGGGAGCACCTGGAAATGGCTGCTCAGAACCTTGTTGACAACCAGCTTCACGCCCTCCATCTGTGCTGGAAATACATCTGAAAGAGGTGAGAGGAAGGGAAGGAATAAATATAGACAAGGACCCCAACCAAGGAGATAAGACTTCCCGTTCAGTCCCATATGAAAGCAATGAAGGAAATGACCTCCTTTCAAATCCTGCAACAAAACGGTCTGCTTTGGGCATCTGATCCTTCTCAACTGCTGGACGCTCCAGCTGGATCTCTCCTTTCTGTTCACATCACTGGACATCAGCATTCAAGGCCCTCCCCTGCTCTACCCCTTCAACCTGAGACACCCTCACCTTTACACAATCGGTGCAACTCATCGAAGCTCCCGGGGTTGGGCAGCGGCTCCTCTCGACGGGGGCTCCGGCGGGGTAAAGTCCCCATTGGTGCCAGGCCCAGGGTGTTCCCCATTTTAGTCCAGAGGACAGGGAAGGGTCGGGGTTAACCTGGGTAAACAATCTATTGCTCCCTCTATCCCCCACGGGCTCCACCCCCCATCATCAGGCTCTCCAGTTTCAGAAACTTCCATATGGTTCAATGCTAGACCTGCAACAAGGAACAATAGGGGGAGAGAGCACCGATGGGAAAATTGAATCCCAGGCACACTCCCGCCCCATCGTTGATCCCTCACCCCCACCTGTCACCCCTGCCCGCTCTCCCATTATCTATTCTTAACCACCACCGCAGGCTTCAGCTAGTTCCCTAGTTTCTTCATTCTTCATTCCCACGTCCCAAGGCTCTGCCCGCAATGGAACACTAGCCCTTACCATCTCAAACCATCCTGCTGCCCCTTTCCCCTAGGCACACCCGGGTCATCTTGATGGGGGCAGCCATCTTGAGTAATGGCAAAACTATAGCTTCAACCTGTATTCAAAGAATGGTTATAAGCGCCATCTTGGAAATGGGCAAAGGAAGCGCTCAAAGACCCAACCCACCCAATGATGAAAAAAGGTGCTTCAATTTCCCAATGACCAATGGAAGAGAAGAAAACAGAAGAGTGGCAAGCCTAAGGGCCCCGGCGCTTCAGTCTGGCGCTGCATGCAGTGGCGAGTGGGAGAGTTTGTGGGTGGCTCTTCAGACTGAGACGGAGACCACAATATTAAGATCGCCCAGCCTCTTCAAGGTCGAGATAAACGTGCGAGCATTCGTGACACTAGAGGGAGCATTTTGTCGCTTGTACCACTGGAACTCCTTAAGCCGGACGTGAGAAAAGTGAAACAACAGTTTGAGTTAGGAGACGTATTTTATGAAGCGACGACGCTCAGGCATTGTGAAGCCAGTAGTTCACATTACTCTCCACCTTTCTGAGATCCTCTGCGGAATCCCCACAGCCCTCCACCATACACCTCCAAAGGACTGTTGCTCACAAACACAGCTCTCCCCTAGAAAACAGAACCCTACCACCACTACCTCCCCATTCTGTCGATCTACACAGCTTGCCTTCGTTATAATAGGAATGGCTGTGAGTTTGTGGGAGGGGTGCAGGTTACGGGCAGAACTAATTCCTGTAGCAGCTGCCTTTCCTTGCAGAAAGAACTAACGAAATTCAGGAAGACGACTACAGACTGACTGTACTCACACTCTTTTCCACGGGGCCAGCGGCAAGAGGTAGTGTGATACTAGAATTATTTCACAAGAGAACTGGAAATGGGCAAGATTTCTCGGTCTTTGTCTGCGCCCTCCCCCAACAGCTCCCACATTTCCATCCCTGTATGTCTCAGTAGCGTTCCAGTGCACACAGGGTAAGCTTTGGGCTTAAAAGGGTTAAAGGTAAGAATGTTTTCAGAATCTGCTTAGCAGATTCCTGTCTAGGGAAATGTGCCTCTGTCCTCCCACACAGTTAGAGCTGGGCCAAGGGCCGGGACCTAACTGATAAGGTGGTCAAATGACCAGGCACCTTTGACCTTTACCTGGATAGAACCCTCTTGACTACTGCAGTTGGGAACAGGAGGGCAGAGGCTATTTTTCTGAACTTGTTTTTTTTTTTGGGGGGGGGGGATGGAGGGGGAAGGGTATACTCATCGATGAGAACCCAGGAGTGTTATTCTACATTCCCACGCCCCTCTTCCCGTCTCATTACACATTAACTCAAAAAAGGACAGAGTCAGCTGTACCTGTTCTGACTTGTTTTCCCCCAAGCCCCATTCCCTGCCACCTCCTATTTTTCTTTCTTTCTTTCTTTTTTTTTTTTTTTTGATTGAGTCTTTCTATGCAGCCGTGGAACTCACTATATAGATCAGGCTGGTCTCAAATTCACAGAGATAAGTCTGTGCTGGAATTAAAGGCACGTGCCACCATGCCTAGCTTCTTTCTTTAGTTCTCAAATACCTCTTTGTCAAGTTGCTATGAAGGGGTGTAGGGTTGGGGAATGAAGTCTATCCATAATGAGGCAAAGATAACAAGACCTAAGGGCTTCATGTCACAGCTTTCCAGAGAAATAACTTAGAATTCTGATTCCCTCATACACATTAACCTATCAACTTAGAGTTTATACCTCTGCCTCTCATTCTAACACCAAGAGTCCTGTTGGCTTGTCCTTTCGTCCATCTCTCCAGCTTGTTTACTCCAGCATGATCTCTGCCCCTCTGGACTTGCCATTCTCTGTATCACCTGACAGGGGTGGGGAAGTAGATGTATATATAGCCCCTGTGTCCAGACAGGCCCAGAGTGCACACCAAGGACAGCGACGTTGAGCAGGTACGATGTGGGAGCAAGAGATGTGGGCAACACTTTACAAAGAGGATGGGCTTTAGTTGTGGAAAGGGAAAGAATTGGGTTAGGGTGGGCATTCAGCTGGGGGTCCCTGGAAGGAGCTACAGCCCATTTGACCTCAGAGTCCTTTCCCACCAGCAGCACTCACTATTCCTAGACCACGTTCCCAGTGCTGCCATCATGAAGCTTCTTGCAATGGTTGTACTGCTCGTCACCATCTGTAGCCTGGAAGGTGAGTTCATGATATGGAGAAAGGAAATCAAAGGAAAGAAGGTGCTGGGGGGGGTCTTGGTTCCCCCAACTCTCTTGTGTTTGTATAACTGAGTGTGCCAATCACAACTCAAGAGGAAGATCATTCCCTTTCTAAAGTCTAAAAAACAAAACAAAACAAAAAACACCCTAGCAAGATATCAATTTTGGGACAGGGATGAAAGGCTGAGGTGGATATTATGGGTGTGAGGGGAGCCCAGGATTCATTGCTGGGAATCCAAATGAAAAGATGGTGCATATGTGTTTGTGTAGGAGCTTTGGTTCGGAGGCAGGCAGAGGAGCCGGGTCTGCAGAGCCTAGTCAGTCAGTATTTCCAGACCATGACTGACTATGGCAAGGACTTGTTTGAGAAGGCCAAGAGCTCGGAGATTCAGACCCAAGCCAAGTAAGTCTCTGGGAGAGGGCTCAAGGGGCTCTAGGACTGCAGAGATAAAAAGATAGGAGTTCTCACGGAATCTTAACTGAGGGGCTACCGCTCCAGAAGAGTACGCTTAAATTGGGAAGAAAAATTCTCCCTCATCCCTGTAGATCCAGATGGGGGCAGCAAGAAGTGGACCTTGGACTCCAGGCTCTAGCATCTGATCCTCCACTGAATGGAAGGTCTAATCCTCCTCTTACAGACTTTGATATACCAGGGCATATCACTTGCGAACCTGGGGCAGTCTGCTCTGACCTTCACCACCAACAAAGACCCTGACAGTGAATAGGGCCCTTCACACTAACCTCGGGTCCTTCCCCTCCCCAGGGCTTACTTTGAAAAGACACAAGAGCAGCTGACACCCCTGGTCAAGAAAGCTGGAACTGATCTGATGAACTTCTTCAGCAACTTAATGAACCTTGAGAAACCAGCTCCTGCTGCTAAGTGAGGCATCGGACACCAGTCTTCCTATTCCAGCTGTCCCACTGGCCTGCCCTAAAGCCCTTCTCCTACCCACTGGCCTGCCCTAAAGTCCCTCTCCTGTCTTCTGCCTGTTTTCTCCAATAAATGAGGAAGGAGTCAAACTGTGCCTCATGTCTTTGGGTGACTGGGAGAAGTAACAGAGTGGGGGAGAAAGGAAAAAGATCAATCTGTTTCTAAAAGCAGGAGGGGATGAGAGTTTTGGTGTGACCTGTGAAGAAAGCATCGAAGAAGTAAGTGATGGAAATGATAGAGTAGATGCCTGTGATTTGTGAGTGTTCCCCATGAGTGGCTCTGCAGCATGAATGAAGGACATGAAGGACTTAAAAGACAAAACCCCTTGACTTGGGGCTTTAGGAAACAAGGGTAACCTTTAGAATTTCTTTGTAAACTTTCTATGAAAAGATCATCGATTTGTTGTTGTTATTTTTTGTTTTGTTTTGTTTTAAGAGAGTTCAGCTGGGTGGTGGTAGCACAGGCTTTAATCCCAGCACTTGGGAGGCAGAGGCAGGTGGATCTCTGTGGGTTTGAGACCAGCCTGGTCTACAGAGTTCCAGGATAAGTCTAAAGCTACACAGAGAAACCCTGTCTCAAGAGAGAGAGAGAGAGCCTAGCAGTGTGACTCAAGACCTCATCTTTCCTTTTGAGCCTGAGAAACCCTGTGTTTCCATCACTCCACAAATAAAGATTAGGTTAACCCTTTTCTCCCAAAACACTCTAGCTTTTTCACTCAACACATCTCATTTAGCTGGGTGGGGTGGCACATGCCTGCCTTTAATCCCAGCACTCAGGAGTTCCAGGACTATCAGAGCTATAAAACAGAGAAACTGTCTTAAATCAAAGCAAGTTAGCTAACAAACAAACTAATAAACCCCCAAAGGAAAAAGAAAACAAAACAAAAAGGCTAAGGACACAGTTTAACGGTAAAGTCCTTACCTAACATGTGGGAAGCCCTAGGTTTAATCCCTAGCATTTGAACAACCAGTGTAAAAACAAACAAAAAACCCTTTTTGTTTTATGTAGAACAATGTACACAGACAAGAAAGTTAGTGTCCCTACTTTCAAGGTGACCTCAGGCAAGTTAATATGTCAAGGAGCCTAATTTCTTATACAGGTTAGGGAGCAGATGAAACAATACAATGGGAAACTTTGAAAATATAAATCACTATGCAGTGCTGTGCATTGCCAGGGGTGAGCCCGGTCACTCTGGCCCTTCTTGGAAGAAGGCAGGCAGGTCAGACACAGAGCTCACTGCACACTATACGGCTTAAATATCTCCATGAAGAACTTCCTGGTGACTCTGGGAAGAGGACAGGTACTGGAAGGGGATTCCTTGACTACCCATCTTGTGAGAAATGATTTCCCATTTAAACCCAACTTGTTCCCTTGACTTTTCCTACTGCCAGTCTCTACCAGGTTCTCGCTAAGGTCCTTCTTGTTCCCAAATCCCCTGAAAATTCATTGTCTTCAAAAATCTTCTACTATGAGGGTCACATGATCCTTGTCGTCACATTCTTCCTGCATGCTTAGCTTTCCAGCTATGCTAACTAAAACATGCATAAGCTGAATTGATACTACCTAGACTGGTGACTATTTTGGGTTAGACATACAGGCTTCTCCACAAACCAATCATGATTCATTTTTCAGACACAAAAGCCACATCTAGTACAGAAGTAATTAGGTTCCAATGTCTCCAAATACACCCATACTCCCAACACTAGTATGCTCCCAGCTCTAGTTTCATCTCAGAACACCCAGAGACCAAGTGAATTATCACTCATCTAGATTCAGTTCAGCATTCATACCTCAAAAGGGCAAAGTAGCCAAGCAGTGGTGGCACATGCCTTTAATCCCAGCACTCAGGAGGCAGAGGCAGGTAAATCTCTGTGAGTTCGAGACCAGCCTAATCTACAGAGTGAGTTCCAGGACAGCCAGGGCTACAGAGAAACACTATTTTGAAAAACAAAACCAAAACAAACAAAAAAGAGCAAAGTAGCCCTGAAGTCCTGCGTTCTCAACAGCTGAGTGTGCCTTACTCAAAACTGTATCTTCAGTATCCAGCCTAAGCCAGGCATTGGTGGCACACACCTTTAGTCTCAGCACTCAGGAGGCAGGCAGGCTGATCTCTCTGAATTTGAGACCAGCCTGGTCTACAAGAGCTAGTTCCAGAACAGGCTCCAAAGCCACAGAGAAAACCTGTATTGGAAAACAAAAGAAAACGAAAAACAAAACAAAACCCAGAATAAGCTGAACCAATACATGATAAATGATAAAATAAGTAGAGTCAGATCTATGGCAGCTTTATTGGAAGGTAATCCCTTTCCAGTGTTTAGCAAGGATTGGGGATCAGGGAAGGCAAAAGGGATTGAGCACAGGAATACATAAGAATACATATACATCTGTTAAGTAAGTCTTTAATGGAAACGAGGAACTGCCAGTGTACATTAGTTTAGATCTGACCTTACTGCCATCATTATGGGAGTAAGGTCAGCCAGCATCAAAAGCATGGAGGTGGCATAGTGATGGCAACCATGAGGGTCAGAGAGAACTAGAATCAGAAAAAGAATGCAACCAAGGATGTGTTCTAAAGCTATTGGGGTGGTTTCTCAGGCTTCAGAGTCTCGTATGTCTCTTGGTTCCGGGTGTTCAGGCCCTGGAGGAGAGTCAAAGGCCAATCAGGAGTTTGAGCTCATCACAGGGGCCCCACCCGCCTCACAGACCCCATTCCTATCCACGTCACTCTAAACCCCTGACCCCTGAGGTCAGGAAAAGAGGTTCACTCACCGTGTAAACAGCATCTGATTTCTGTATAGATAGAAGGAGCAAGGTATTAGAGATCTATACCTTCTTTAGGCTCCCCCTCCTGTCATCTTTTTTCCCACCCAGGGAATATCTGGGTCAAGGTTAGCATTAGCTGCCTTAAGCCAGGAGCACTCACATGATAGCTTATTTACCCATGTGGCAACAAACACACTTCAGTACAACACACAACTCTCTCATGTGGTCTACTTGCTTCTTTCCTGTCCAGATATTTTATTTGTAGCTCAACTAGATAGCAGGGTGCTACCACTCTAAGGTGAGGGACAGGGCTCAGATTAGTACCCCCAAAAACATGCCTTCCTAAAGGCCTCAGACCTAAGGCTAGTAACCCAGGAAGGTTGAGCACATGAAAAACAAACAACTGTTGACTCGAAGGTGTGGGAGACTCCATACCTCACGGCTGGCTATAGCTGCCTTTCGGACCTGGATCTGGAGTGGGGGAAAGGCAGTCAGTACGGAAGAAGTTGGAGGCCCGTCTCCTTCCCCTCTAAACCATGGAGAGCCCCTGTGGTTCCGCTTCCTGCCACCCTCCCACTTCTGGGCCCAGTTCTTAGACCACCCCACCCTGCCTTACCTTGAGCCGACAGTAGAGCAGGGTAAGGACAATACCATACAAAAACAGGATGGCATCCAGGATATAGCAGAGCTGGGGTTCTCCCAGGGCAGCTGAGGGGATACAGGGTACCCATGGGACCCGGTGCACAGGGAGGGGGAGGGTTGTTGCTCAGAGGAAGGGAAAGGGATCAGGGAGGCGGATGGGGGGGGCGTCCTTCTAAGGGAAGAAACTAATCCCATCTTCAGACTGTCCTTTCTCTTACCTTCCCCTCTTCCCCCACAGACTATGGCAGGAGTCGGATAGAAGCATGAAGGGTTCTGTTGCGGTAGGACTTAGGTTTACTGAGGGTTAGAGACTTCCCTGTCAGCCCCAGACCTCTCCTTTCAGTATTGTGGTTCCTCAGGCATCATTGAACACTTCTTCTACCTCAAGGACCCATCAGAGTTTACTGGGCTGAGACAAAAACCTCAGCCCAGCGGGGGAGGGGAGAGAAATTTCAGCAAAGAAACCACAAGAGTGTGTCTCTGTAAGTCCTGTGACCTGTGGCTGAGGGCTGGACAGGAAGGATGTGAGCTGGTGAAGGGAGGGAAGGCAATTACTCTATTATTGGTCATCTTCTCAGCCTCACTGCTTTTTGCCTCACGAGACACTTAACTATACCAAAAAATCAACCAAACAAAACCCAAAGTGACTACTTCCCAAGGCTCTATAGGTACCATTGGCTCAACACATAAAGCTGGATGGTGAGCACAGCTCAAAGGAATGACCACAAAGTAAATCTAAAGTATGCATTCTTCCTCCTGCTACTCTGCCCTGTTAATCATGCTAGGCCTCTAAGAGGGGAAGTTTGTGCAACTTTAAAAAAAAAAAAAAAAAATCACACAGAAGCTGAGAGTGCCGGGCCATGCCTATAATCCCAGCACTTGGGAGGTGGGGGCTAGAGGGCTGCCATGAGTTTGAGGCCAGCCTGACCTATATAATGAGTTCCAGACCAGTCTAGGATATAGTTAGGTCCTGGAAAAAAAAAAAAAAAAAAAAAAAAAAGTGGTGGAACTCTAAGTCTGACACCAGTTTGGTCTACAGAGTGAGTTCCAGCGACAGCCAGGGCCACAGAGAAACCCTGTCTTGAAAAACAAAACAACTGGCAACAAACAATAAATAAATGATTCCCCCCCCAAAAAAAGAAGAAACTCCTCAAACAACAAAGGGCTCAGGAACTGAACATGGTGCCCCCACAATCCCATGAGGCTGAGGCAGAAGAGTGTCAATGATGCCAGCTTGTGCTACATAATGAGACCCTGCCTCAGATGATCACACAGGACCTTGGCTCCAGATTGCTCCCAGCTTTATCAGGGCCAATAGGGTGGCTGCTGATTATTTTTGCCTTTATTTCTCATCTGATGCACGAGTCTCTAGGAGTGGGCACTTTATGCTGCCCATCCTCTTACCAGTTAATGAAATGGTGTAGCCCTGTCCTCTTCCACACAAGTCAAGTTGCCAAGACTGGTACTTTTTAATCTACAGCACTCCCACACCATATTGCACAAATCTCAAAACTACCTTGTGAAAGAAGCATCAATATCACCATTTTACAGATGATGAAACATAGGTACTCACAAAAGCTTAGAAACACTGGCAACCACAGTTAAGCAACAAGGAAAAAACCCAGTTTTTCTGCCTCCAAACCCATGCTTTCCTTTGTGCCCAGCCATTGTTTCCCTAGGGTTTACCCCACCCTCTGTAAAGGCCATCTCTCAACCAGTGCTCTTCAAACTCCTTGCCGATAGGTACAGGCCCATAAACCCAGCGCTTGGGAGGTGGAGGCAGGAGTATTAGGAAATCAAGGTTAGCCTCAGCTAAATAGGGAGTTTCTAGGCTAGCCTAGGCTACATAATACCATGTCCTCCCAAAATAAGACAAACGCCTCACACTGATAGAATGCAAAATAAAAGCTGAGGGGAGTTCTTGGGCAATCTAGAACCTGAGTGCCACTGGATCTTGGGGCTTTTGCTTTTACTTCTCAGCTAATGACTGAGAACACAGGACTCGTTGCCTACTGCTATCAGTTGAAGGGATGGTGTGGCCCTGACCATCCCCAGAAGAGTTATTCATGTCTATTTTGACTCCCTTGCCTTTCTCCGAAGATCACAGTCAGGCCCTAGCCTAGCCTATCTAGAGGGCTTTGCATATAATTAGTTAGAGACAACCTCCCCACAGAGACTGAAAGCATCCATGGTACAGCTGATCAAGAGATAGATCTTTCCAGACAAGCTCTTCATGCTGTAGTCACCTCCCCTGACAAATTAACCCTTCATATTGGTCCTGAAGTCAGTATGGTAAGAAAGGGACAATAAAGATGGAAATGATGAGCAGTGCCCAGGTGGGAACCCAACAGGGCTAACCTCAGAGTCTGCCTCAGCCCTGTGCCCACCCACCCAGCACCAGCCTTCTTCCTTCCATTCCCAATTCACACCCTAGATTCCCACTCAAGTACAGCTAATAGTCTGCACCAAACCCTTTCACCTACCTGCTTGTTCCACCAAAAGGAGCAAGAGCAAGACCACGGCTGGAATCATCTTGGACGGGGGCTTCGGGGCTGGGAACTGGCGATCAGACACTCTGACAGAACTGCGCAGCTGTGCCCACGAACAGTTCCCTGACCACAGGTCCCCCCCTTCCTGCCACGCCTTCCCCCCACACTTTGGCCCCTTCTCCTTCCTGCACTACAGACCAGGCAGCTCCCGGAAGGGCCAACTAGGGGAGCTGGAAGATCTAGCCTCTAAGCCTCAGCCCTTTCAGGGACCAACCCACAGAATGAACAGACTTTCAAGCCTGGGAAAGACAGTCTATATCTGCATGTTTAACAACCCCTCACTCATCATTCAGACATAGGTCGTATATATGTGGCAAACTACCCCTTCAGATGCCCTTAGACCCCACCATAACCCTTACCTTACTATCTGAACTTTATATACCCAGTCTTCACTTGAGTTTACTAGTTTGTATAGATGCTAAGAGGGTTTGGGCAGGAGGAACTGAGGGGAAAGGGGAAATGAGGAATGGAGAAGTGGAAAGGGCAAGAGTCAGAGAGGGGGTGGAAATTCAGCTGGGAAAATCGAACAGAGAAATACAAAGTGAAAGACAGGAAGACTTCAAGAAACACGCATTAGAAGCTTGAGCATGGGGCCGCAAGGCGGCTAATTTAATATAATTTCTCCTTTTCTAGTACATGCACAGAAAGTCTGTACAGCTAAGTCATCATGTACATGTATGTTTGTTTACACACACGGAGACACACAGCCTCACTTCCTATGAGAGACAGGCCTTGCAGATGAAGCTGCCAGGCATGGAAGCGCAAAGGCTATACCTTTGTTCATCGGTCTATTTCTCCAAACACAATATCCTGGGTACCTAGAAGGTTAGAGATAAAGTGTTATCGCCAGAGGACCAGAGCACATGACTATGTCTAAGACACAGACTATAATAATCAGGGAGCGTCTGGATTTGTTCCTAAACAGAATCCCAAACCCCTGCATAATAGGTCTCATACCTATGATGGCTACGACATCTGCCAACATGTGTCCCTTAGACATCTTGTCCAAACCAGCCTGTGGGGATGGGAATAGCAACATGTTAATATAAGTCTGCAGAGAAGAGCTCTTTAAAATCTTATCCAAAGGCAGGGTGTTCATGAGTTTGAAGCCAGCCTAGTCTACATAGAGAATTCTAGGCCAGCTAGAACTACATAGTGAGACCCTGACTCATAAACAAAGCAAAACAAAACACCATGACAACAACAACAACAAAAGCCAAAATCCTCATGCAAGGCAGGCACAGGAGCTCATGTGTGTAATTCTAGCACTTGAGAGTCTAAGGCAGGAGGGTCACTGTGAATCCAAGCCCATACACATAGTAAGCTCTAGGCTGGTCTGGGTTATGTAGCAAAATTCTGTCTTAAACGAATGGAACAAGACAAAATCTCATCCAAGAGTTGGGTGTGGAGGTCTATACCTGTAATCCTCCTGCCTGGGAGGCTAAAGCAGGAGATATTAAGTTCAAGACCAGCCTTAGCTACACAGGGAGTTCTACACAAGCCAGAGCTGTATAGCAAAGTCCTATCTCAAAAGGCAAGGTGGTCAAAAAGCTCTGTTGTTGAGAACATGTACTACTCTTATAGAGGACCTGAGACTGGCTCCTGAAACCAACAACAGGTAGTTCACAACTGCCTGTAACTCCAGCTCCAGGGGATCTGATGCCCTCTTTTGGCTTTGGAAGGCACTTGCACTCATGTAGCATACATACATACATACACGCACACACATATACAATAAAAACAAATATTCTTTAAGTAGCTAAAAATAAACAAAGATCCTCAAAGTCAGTAAATTATTAATACATTACAGTTAGAACCATTGCGACTGTCTTACCAGGTGGGCAAAACCAGGAGCCTTGATCTTGCACCGATAAGGGCGGCTGCTGCCATCAGATACCAGGTATACCCCAAACTCTCCCTGCCCAAGGAAGAAAGTTGAATGCCCCATTAGTAGGAAGAGTATTCTTCTCTTCCACCAAAGCCTCTCTGGTCATCTTTATACCTTCTCTGTCATTAGTGAGGGAGCACTCCATTCACTGTCTACTCCAGCCACCCACTCCACACACTTTTCTTTCCCCTCCTCTCCTCACCTTAGGAGCTTCAATGGCAGTGTATGTGGCTCCTGGAGGAACTTGGTAGCCCTCAGTATACAGCTTGAAGTGATGAATTAGTGACTCCATGGAAGTCTGAGGGGAGGAAAAGGGAACATTAAGAAACCAGATCCAGCCAGGGGTGGTGGCAGCACACGCCTTTAATTCCTTTAATTCTAGCACTGGGGAAATAGAGGCAGGCAGATCTCTGCGAGTTCGAGGCCAGCCTGTTTACAAGGCAAGTTCTAGGACAACCAGGGCTATGCAGAGAAACCCTGTCTTGAAAAAAAAGGCAAAAGGCAAAATCCAAGCTCTGCCCTTGGGCTCTCCTCTTCTCCCTCCCCACCCCAATAGCAGAGATATCAATCTCTGCCCTCTGGAAGATAAGAACCACGTGTAAATCAGGAAGCAGTAAGACGAAATAAATGATGAGTGTGGTAAAAGTTCAATATCTTAAAAAGTTAAACCAAAAGATAGGATTCAATCCAAGGACGTTTCTCCATGACCACTGGTCTCATTCCCATGCCTGAGCTTCCCCCCTCTCCCTGCAGCCCACCTTCATCTCTGCTCGTTTGGGTGGAGACACTTTGGCATCATCAACCTTGATCTCCCCAGGAGGCATCTTGTTCAGACACTGTAAAATGATTCGAAGGGACTGGCGCATCTCCTCCACACGACATAGGTACCTGAAGTAGATTAGACAGACTCAGAACAAGAGAAAGCAGACAGGAGTATGCAGGAGTCTGGATGATGCCCTATGGGAGACCTCAAAGATGTTAGGTAAATGTTCCTGCTTCTTTTGGTACAATATCTCTGCTTGCCCTGGCTGCCCATGTAAACTCTGCAGTATTTTGAGTCTATCATGAGTCCTTCTCCAAATCTTATTGGTTTTCTTTTTCTTTTTTTTTTTTTTTCAGAATGTGGCCTGTGGTTTTTCCCTTCCTACCCTCTTAAACACAGTTTGGACTACAGACCAAGGGAGTCGAATGGAAAGATAAACAAAGAGAACAACAGAAGCAAATGTTACTCAAGGTCAGTAAACAGGAATGGGTTCTGAGGCTTAGAATCAAGTGTGAAGATCGCTGGGTCAGGAGAATTCCAATCTCAATCACTAAAAGGCTAATCCCTAACTTATGCTTGAGCTTTTCCAGCTACAGAAGCATCCAAACTAGTTCTATCTAAGGCAGGATGGTAGGACAAGGGTAAAAAGTAAATAGATTTGGTGTGTGTGTTGGGGGAGAACTGAAGACTGTGAATACAAAGCACAACTCTTAGCAAGCTTAATAAATTATACAGGCTCCTACAGATCAAAGAAACCATCAAGGGCAAAGAGCAAGGATTTGGGTCTACAAAGAACTGAGCAAGGATTTGGATCTTACCTATCATAGCAGTCCCCTCGAGAACCAATAGGAACATCAAACTCAACCTGGTCATAAACATCATAGGGCTGGGTCTTCCGCAAGTCCCACTGGATGCCTGAGCCTCGGAGCATCACTCCACTGTAAGGTATAAAGGGCATAAGGGTCACCCTCCTCAAAAATAAGAAAGGACACACATGCTTCCTATCTCCACCCTCCCCAACACTTTGGCTATGGAATACAAAGTTAATGTATGGAGAGGAGAGCACTAAATATGCTTGAAACCAAGACACTGGGTTGTAACTCTCTACAGCCGCTACCACCCCCAAGGAAAGAAGATGTATTCTCCTACCTGAATCCATAGTTAAGTGCATCTTCTGCTGATATAACCCCAATATCGACTGTCCTATTTCGCCAGATTCTATTGTTAGTCAGCATCTATGGATGGAGAAATCCAGTGTGCTAATATTCTTCATGACAACCTTCAAAAGAAAGCCTCTGTACTTATATAACCCTGGGTACTAAACTCCACAAGCCCTTTTGGAGGATAAAGATAATTTTATTCCCACTGATTTCTATCTTACCTCCTCCACCTCATCAATCCGAAGAGAAAAGTTCTTACAAAACTCATAAATGTCGTCCATAAGCCCAAGAGGAAGGTCCTAGAAACCAAGTGGTGATTCTTGTTACAACACCCCTTTCCCATGGGGACAGAGTTCCATTCCATCAGCCCATACTGCCCTCCAGTGGTCAAAGAAGAAAGAGACCTAGGCAGGAAGTGTGGAGACAGGAGAGCCACTTACTTACCTGGTGAACTCCTCCTGGTCGGATATAGGCAGCATGCATTCGGGCTCCAGACACCCTCTCATAGAACTCAAACATCTAGATAGAACACATTGTGAATTAGAAACAAAGTCCCTGGAAACCCACGTCCAGAAACAAGGTAGTCCATTGCCCTAACTCTGACTTCTTGTGGCTAGCCAAAGCCTAATGATACAGGATTCCTACAAATACAATCCAACAAAATATACCTCCCACCCCAATTGTTTTCATCTGTCTCCTTCCTGCCCTCTCTTCTTCTTGTTGTATTTTCTTTTCTTTCTCCCTTTCTTTTCTTTCTTTCTTTCTTTCTTTCTTTTTTTTTTTTTTTTTTTTAGGATTTAGTTTATTTTAAGGTGTGTGTACATGAGTGCATTTATCTGCAAAATCCAGAGGTGGGTGTTGGATCCCCTGGAGCTGCAGTTACAGGCAGTTGTGAGCTTCCTGGTGTGGGTGCTGAGAACTGAACCCAGAACCTCTGCAAGAGCAGTAGGTGCTCCTAACCACTGAGCCGTCCATCTCTCCAGCCCCATTTCTTGTATTTTCTTCCCTATCCCTATCCATGCTTCCCTCTTATACCTTCTCTCTTTCTTCAAACATCCAAAAGAAAGGAGTCATGGCACCAATGTCCAGGGCATGTGTGGTCACAGCCATGATATGGTTCAAAATCCGTGTGATCTCTCCAAATAGCACTGTGAGACAGAGAGATAAGAAGTGGTGGATGGGGCTGGAAGGACAGCTCAGCCAAGGCTTGCTGACAAGTCTGAAGCCCACATGGTAGAAGCAGGGAACTGACTCCCATGTTGTCTTCTGACCTCCCC